AAAAAAAAAAAACTACAAAGAAGGCACTAGTATAATCCACATTCTAAAAAGACTTATTTTATTATTGATTTATGTGTATGTGTGTGTATGTGTGTACATCCCAGTGTGTCAAACTCCTTGGAGCTGGAGTTACAGGCAGTTGTGGGTGGCCCTGTGTGGGTCCTATGAATCAAACTTGGGTCCTTTGGAAGAGCAGCACACACTCTTAATCACTGAACTATCCCAACCCCCTTGACCTGCAATTTGTAGATGAAAAGGTAAGACTTTACGAGGGTGGGTACGTGTCCAGGATCTCAGGACACGAAATGACGTAACACAAATGGATTCAAATCCAGGTGTCCTGTTCCCAGATCCCATGTCCTCACCAAGCACCCCGGTGACACCAGGAATGAAGTCACTGTCACTTATTGCATGGCTTCTGTACAGCAGGCTCATGCCAAGCCCTTTACACACATCCTCTCTCGCATACTGCGGAAGCGGCAACGCAAAACCCAAAGGTCAAAACCATCTGAATTGGCAGGGGTGAATTTGAGCTAACTCTCCCGCCTGCCTCGTCACAGCAGAGCGGACAGAGATGGGGGCACAGACAGTTCACCTTCACAGTGATGCTTAGCCACGGAGAGGAGCTGCTGTTAGGAACTAGGGGTTCGTGTCTGGAACCATCCCGGCAAAGCTGGACGACGGGCACGGCCTGTGGACAGCTCAGGGTCTCCCAGGTGGATGGCCTGGAGCAGCAGCTGTGCCGAAGGACTTCCTCAGCTGTTAGGTCCCAGTGGAGGCTGGTTTAGGAAAGGCCACCCTACAAAACCCAAGGTCTGGAGCTCAGCACTGTGGGCGGAGCCCGCTTAGGGTGGAGGAGTTCTTTTGAGGTCAGAGGCTAGGGAGTACTGGATGGAGTCCAGGGATGCGCAGACCTTGAACCCCACTGGCTGACCGTTCAGACTGGTCAGCAAGGGGCTGGGAGTCATGGCCAAAGGCCCGGTGAGCTAGCAGCCTGAGACCTCCTAGGTTCTGCGCCTGCTGAACAAGGCTCTGCACAGCCCTTGCCCGCCTCTGCCTTGCCTCGCTGTAGAGGTCTCAGGCCGGCCTTTCTCCAGTCTCACTGCTCTCCTGCTTCCACAGGGTTCAGGATAATAAACAACAATGGTAGATAACAATAAACACGGTAACCGCACTCAGCCCTTACTCTATGGGAGAGAGTAAAATCCATTGTGAGGTGTGCAGTGAGAATATTTCCATTTTACAGATGAGAAAACTAAGGTGGGGCTGAGGGAGATTCCCACAGCTCATCAGTGGTGGTCCAGGCGTGGCCTGTAAGTTCACTGTCCGTTATAATCACGTTGGAACACTTTGGCCCCCTACTCTGCCTCCACGGAGCTGGCCACCTTCACACAGGGTCACCATGAGGGGCCTCGGCCCCTCGATGAACAGAGGACTGGCAGAATGCAGCCCCATCTCACACCGGTTCCACGCGGTTTTAAGTTTCAGTGGTGAGCTTTGTGAGTACAGGGCTCCCGGGCCTCATTTCCTGGAGGGATCATGGGTTGGAAAGAAAATTATACCAATGTCAGCGGCAACACCCATCCATCAGAGAGAAGGTCTCCATCTGGTGCTCTGACCTACTTCACCCTGGAAGGCTCCAGGCTCCCTGGACAGCCTAGACATAGAGCCCCCTGTGGACGGTTTCATCCACGGAAGCACAAGGACCTAATTTTAGATTAGACATGCATGCTTCAGGCTGTGAGCGCCTGCTGTTTACGGCAAGGAACACAGGTTTTTCTATCTGTAAAATTGGCATAGTCTTCCCAAAATAAAGGCATATTATAACTTTCAAAAGAAGCTGTAAGTCATTATGGTGGGGTGGAGGTACATCCACTGGGAGACAGAGGGATAACCTGGAGAGGCTGCAGTTTTCAGGGGACATGGCATGCCGTAGTCTGTTTTAATATCGCCCCTAGAGGTCCTGCCCCCTAGGACTTAACTCTCCAGTTGTCGCACCCCCCCATCCAATGGAGTCATACATTTTACGGGCTATTGGTGAGGACTGAATATGGATAATTTAAGAGTAAATCGGATGCTGCCTGAGGCCCCAGCTCCTCGGGAAACTTATGACCAGGAATCCACGGTTGATGGGGACTTCTACAGTGAGATCCCATCTCAAAACTGAAGACGTTAATGACAGGGGAAGCCTTGGCCTGGAGCTGCCACTCAAGAGAGACCAGCTGACTCAGAAGGCACAGGGCCAGGAGAGGCCTGTTGCTGCTCCTAGCCCCCACCCTACATGATCAGGTCCCTTACAGTTTGAACACAAAATGTCCTTCACAGGCTCCATAGAGCGGGGAGGGAGGAGGCTGGGTTACCAGCTTTGGAGAGCTGACTGGATCCCTGAGGGTTCCAAGGAGCAATGGATTCACCCTTTAACGGATTCATAATTTGAACAGAGTATTGCAAAGGGATGATGGTGGGGCCAAGATGGAGGGAGAAAGCCAATGAAGGCCTGCCCTTGAGGGGTGATTGCTCTTCCTCGTTAGTTCCTGTCTTTTTCTTTCTCCGCTTCCTGATCCGCTGCCAGGAGGTGAGCCGCTTTGCTCTTCTGTTTGCTCCCAGCCAAACCGCTCTGCTTCCCCAAAGCTGGGAGTCAAAGACACGAAGTGGAATCTCTGAAACAGGAGGCTGTCGGCCACTCTTCACAGCAGTGGAAAACCGGTCTCAAGTCTGACACCAGTTGTGAGTGACTTCCTGACTGGTGGCGGCAAGGGTGGCTGTCTATTAGAAGAGGTTTGGATGTACCAGCTCTGAGAAGACTCGGTCTTGGCGTCATCCTTAGGTGACTCCAGCAGGAAAGTCAGCCTGAAGGGCATCTGGTGACCTCAGCCCCCATGGCGACCCTGGACCAGCCATCATCCTTCCCCCACTGTGGAATATACAGGGACAGGGAAAGAGACTTGAAGGAATACCCACGTCATTCGTCATTCTGAGGTGCTGGCTTCAGATAGGGCAGAACCTCAGGACTAAAGGACCAAAAATCCACACAGCCCCAAAGCAAGGGAAAAAACAAACAAACAGAACAGCTTGACCCCCACCACCACCACAGAGCAGAAGGAAACTGAAGCCTGAGGGCAGAGGCAGCGAAGAATTCACTCAGCAAGTGACAAGGCCATTTCCTGCCCATCCCTTATCTCTGGTTGTTTCCAACAGACCCCAGTATTGCTATCACAAACCCAGGAAGCAAAGTCGAGCTGGTGTCTGCATTCCAAGGTGCTTTGGTTCTCGCAAACCACCAGCATCTGGGGGAGGGGAGACGGGCATCACACACAAGCCATAGGAAGCAGGGAGGGTCTGCAAGGTCTGCCTCTGTGGACCAGAAACCCTGGTGGATGTTGCAGTTCCTGCTTTGGGGCCTCCTCTACTCCCCTATCCTCTCTAAGGAATGGCAATGTTCTGTGTGCCCATGGGGGAAGGTGCTATGCCTGCCCCAAGCTGCTTGTTCATTAAAAGGCCTTGATTTCTCCTTGCCATCTAATTATGCACAGCGGCCATAAAGAAGCTTTCTCCCTTCCCAAAGAGGCCTATTTATACGAGAGAGCACCTCGCCCCCACAAGATTGAGTCGTCATTCAGTGCCTTGTCGGAATCAAAGCCTCATCTCTTCAGAGATGCCCGGAGCCCCGC